AGCGAGCCGCGAGTGTTCATGAGCAGACGTGTGTTAACATTAGTAACCTGTCAGGGAAATCAAAGCTCTCAGTCAAAACATGGTAAGGAGACTGATTTCCTTTTCTCTGTGTGCTGTGGCCTGGAGTCCTGGAGTTAGCGGCGTCTACAACGCACAGTCGGTTCATTAGTAATGATCAAGAGTGTCTGTAATCATCCCTGAGATGTGATCCCTGTTTTTTCGTGGCCTATTTAAAGTTTAGGACGGCTGTATTCCCTGATCGGCCCATCAGAGGAAGATGAAAACAGCACATTGGCAGCCTCAAGCTGCATTGTTCACACTGAGCTCTACATGGGAAGTAGGGCTGTGCGATTTGATGGCTTAATGCACAGCTGTTTGGAATACTCGCTTTGATGGGTCATTCCAAGGTATTTTATTTCCAGATAACAACCGCTAAATAACATTGACTCATCTGGGAATTTTTTTTGACTGCCACTGAAACCGTTCACATTCATATCACTCGCATTCATTTGTATTTGTTTGTCTTTCAGGCCATATATTTTTCAGTATTTGGTGTCATCTTGTAATAATGGACAGGTTAGTGTATACTCCATTCAACTGGTTTGATTTTTTGACTGTTTGGCGCAATCTTGTGACTGAATAATGTGCAGGTTAGTGTACACTCCATCAGCTGTTTTTGTTTCTGTCAGCTTTGCATTTTTGACTGGTGGGCACCATCTTGTGACTGAATAATGCACAGGACAGCGCGTACTCCATCAGCTGTTTTCGTTTCTGTCAGCGTTGTGTTTTTGACTCTTTGGCCTCATCTTGTGCCTGAATAATATGCAGGTTCAGGGCTCAAAATTAACTTTTTTACTTGGTAGCACCGATGCTCATAACTTCAAATATTTAGGAGCACCAGAAAAAAATTAGGAGCGCCACCAGAAATTTTGTATTTTAAGGGATTTATTGTATTTTTAAAACAACATCAATTAGGACTAAAACAAAAAAAAAAGAAACAACTAATCTTACTAATGCTGAGAGGACTTTGATATTTGTTTGCAATAATTCCAAAATGTGTGTCTAATATTTATAGAATAATATTAATGATGAAAAAGACAATATTAGTAACCAGGGCTTTACATTAACACCCCCCAACCCGCCAAATGCAGATAGATTTCAGCTTTGGCGGGTTAGACAGCCGCTCCCACTAGCTGCTTTGGCACGTTGGAAATAATTTTTATATTGTAGTTTTCTTAAAGCAGGGTTCGACAATAAGGATGGACCAATGTGCGCACAAATGTGATCTTAGAATCGAGAAGCAGCACGACTGACAAAAATAACTGCGTTGACGCGAGCAATAGCAGGTGAATACCTTATGAGAGGATGATGTGATGTCGCGCGCAACAGGTGATGTGATGCACGCAACTTAAAAAGTGTTTACTTGCGCGAAACAACCGTGTGTAGAGGAAGCGCAACTGGTGCGATCGGTTCTCTTTGAAATAGACTAAACAAAAAGCGATGCTCGTGTACCCACTGTCCTGCTGCTTTCAAGAGCTCAAGATCGAAAAAAACCCCAAAACAATATATATATATATATATATATATATATATATATATATTCTTTTGTAAGCAGCAGCAGCAGTCACCGCTTTCGTTTTAATTAAATCTCAGGCACATGATCATCCTTTCATTATCACTCATGGTATGTTTTTACCTGCTTTCTTTTGCTTACAGTTATTTTTGTTAATATAGTTTAATTATCATCCTTTACAATAACAATGCTTTAACAGGAGAATAACGTGTAGAATTATGTGTAGTAACTGCTGATCTGGGAACTTTAGCCTGGACAGATTACTGTGCATATTTTAGATACATGACAATAGATCTTTATAAATGTCAATTAAAAAAAAAAAAAAAAAAGTTTTGTTGAATTTAAAAGTGCATGTATGCTGCTATATATTTGCATTTGAAATGTGTGGCTAAAAAAAATATTATTTCTTTATGGTGTGGTCAGAGATACATTTAGTAAAATTTTGAGCCCTAAAAAAGTCATGTGAAATAAAAAACAATTGCAATGCAACAAAACCCATTTGCTAATGCACAGTGAGCAAGCTCACAAACAGTGAAATGAATAAGGAGGCATGTGGACATCACAACATCTAAATCAAGTCAATTTAGCATGTCAAAGTCACATTTATTCATATAAAATATATTTTCCAAACAACAAAATTGTGGCTGGTGAAAATGGCAAGTGGCTAGTGATGTTGCAGTGGCTGGTGATCAAAAAAGTTAATGTCAAGCCCTGATAGTAACAATGAAATACATTTCTCATCATCGTGCTGTCCTGAATGTGCTTGAATGTAAATTATCTGCTGTGAAAAGTCTGTTACCTTATGAAAAATAAAATTACGGTTTGCATCAAACAAAAATGAAGTATTTTATTAAGAAGTATTGTATTAAGAAATATGTATTTTGTACTGCTGTTTTTTATGTGCATGTCAATTTAATAAATAATATTTCTGCTACAAAACAAGCGAAAGATTATAATAAATCGTTCAATTCAAAGTTGTAGGCTGCAAAACAGTCAGTAACTAAATAGAAACATCAGACACATCTCAAGAAAGAACAGACAAAAGAAAGTAAGAAAAATCTCACTTCTGCCACTCTTTAAAAGTTTTGGTTTCAGTTTATGTCACAATTTAAATGTTCAATCTCAGCTGATTTGCAATTTGAGCTGAGCGATGACCACTGGCGCTATACCGCTCTTTGTTATAAGCCGTAGTTTCAGTGTAAACTTAGTAAAAGCCAGCTTCTTTGGCAATGATATGTACAGTATTAGATTTTACATTTAGCAGACATTTGCGCTGAGCATGCAGTGAATGCAACGCATCGAGATTCGGGCGCTTTCTCCGAAAACACTCGATTGATCTTGGCTAGCAGATCAACATTCACCATGTCATGATCGATCTCATCTGCGCCTCAACTTTTGGTGGGGTTTGCAAACCTGTGTGCTTTTCATTCTTCAGCCGTTTGCATTTTCCGCAGTCATAAAAGTTCCCTTTTATCTAACAGCGGAATACCTTGAGTGATTCACAGCTAATATGAACCAATATAGTGGCAGGGAAGAGCGATTCAGCACGTTTTTAGAAAAAATCATAATCATAACAGGTTGCACTACAACCATTATATGCAGTGCTCCCAAATATAATATGAGGTCGCATAGAATAATTTTCGGGCGCATATGCGACCAAAATGGTCGCAATTTCGAGCCCTGAGGTTAGTATATTCTCCATCAGCTGTTTTTGTTTCTTTCGGCTTTTCATTTTGGAGTGGACTGTTGGAGTCAGATTGAATATTGTGCAGGTTAGTGTATACTCCATCAGCTGTTTTCGTTTCAGTCAGTGTTGAGTTTTTGACTGTTTGGCACCATCTTGTGACTGAATATTGTGCAGGATATTGTATACTCCATCAGCTGTTTTCATTTCTGCATTTTTAACTGTTTGGCACCATCTTGTGTTTAAGTAGTACATAGATTAATATAAACTCTAGCTGTTTTTGTTTTCTGTCAGCTTTGCATTTTTGACTGTTTGGCGCCATCTTGTGACTGAATATTGTGCAGGATATTATATACTCCCATCAGCTGTTTTCGTTTCTGTTAGCATTGCATTTTTAACTGTTTGGCTCCAACTTGTGATTAAGTAGTACATAGATTAGTGTATACTCCATTCGCCATTTTTGTTTCTGTCAGCTTTGCATTTCTAACTGTTAGGAGCCATCTTGTGACTAAATATTGTACAGGATATTGTATACTCCATAAGCGGTTTTACGTTCCTGTCAGCGTTGCGTTTTTAACTGTTTGGCACCTTCTTGTGATTAAGTAATACATAGATTAGTGTATACTCCATCAGCTGTTTTCGTTTCTGTCAGCTTTGCATTTTTGACTGTTTGGCGCCATCTTTTGACTGAATTTTGTGCGGGATATTGGATACTCCATCAGCTTATTTCATTTCTGTCAGTGTTTAGTTTTTGACTGTTTGCCGCCATCTTGTGAGTGAATATTGTGCAGGATATTGTATACTCCATCAGCTGTTTTCGTTTATGTCAGCATTACATTTTTAACTGTTTGACACCATCTTGTGATTAAGTAGTATGTAGATTAGTGTATACTCCATCAGCTGTTTTCGTTTCTGTCAGCTTTGCATTTTTGACCGTTTGACACCATCTTTTAACTGAATATTGTGCGGGATATTGTATACTCCATCAGCTGTTTTCGTTTCTGTCAGGGTTGAGTTTTTGACTGTTTGGCTCCGTCTTGTGATAGAGTAATGCACAGGTTAGTGCAGAGGCGGACTGGCCACCAGAACCCGGTGGCTAATTGTTTCATTTTGGCAGCATAAACCTTTAGATAGGCCTGAACAAAAATGTTTCTGGCTTTTAAGAGTTCTGTGAAGTAAAACAGCCGATTATAGTGTTTGTGCATTATAAATACACTTACTGTGTTTACTATGTTCTGAGCTTCTTGTTTTGGTTTTCTTAGATATATCAAGATAAGTCTGCAAGGGTCTCTCTCATCCTCTAGAACACACTATATAAACTCTATAAAGAAGGCAGAAACTAAACTTTTTTTTGCACTGCAACTGATGATCAACAGTAAAACATAAATTACTAATTGTATCTCTTCTGAAATAGGGAAAACCAGCAAAAATCAATAATGCATGTTTATATAGTGTCATGGCTTTGCAGTACAAAAATGTCATCATAATAGAAGTCAATGGGGCAAAAACAGCCACTAACATAACAAAAGGTTAGTCGATATGCTCAGTGTATTGCTGAGTTTTGGAAAATTCTCAAAGCATTTCCTTAAAATATGTGTCAAAAAAAGATTTGCCACCAAAACTCATTCTATTTTTTGAAACGCAGATAAGGTTGTGGCCAAATTAATCCTCAAAATCCCCCCCAGAGTGGATGAAACACCCCCAACAGCACACAAGGGTTAATGTGTGCTTTTATGTTCGCAGGGTAATCAGGAGGGCAGTAATCCAGCGGACGCGATGGCCCAGACGTACACCACGCAGTACGCTCATCCCTCACAGAACGGCATCCCGGCTGAGTTCACTGCACTCCCCTCACAAGACTACACAGGACAGAGCCGCGTCCCGGACCATGGCCTGACGCTCTACACACCTGCACAGACTCACAGCGACCTGAACAACACAGACAGCCAAACTACAGCCATCAGCACTGGCTCCAACACAGCGCCGGTGCGTCTCTCACACACACACAAACACACACATGCAGATTAGTAAGTCAGAAATGTGAGATGTAAAAACAATTGAATTACTTATTATATAACTGAATGCTGTAAAAAAAAAAAAAAAAAAAAACAATTTAGAGAATTTTATTTTTAATTCCTATGAAAATGACAGAATTTTGGGTGAAAAAGTATTCAGTAATATAAATATACATTCTCAGATTAGCAAGTATACATTTACCTTTTTTTGTGGCAGAACACACAATGTGTTAGTGTTGGGCAGTAGCGCCGCTACAAGTAGGGACGCTACTAGCTTAACTACATTTCTCAGTAGCTTGGCCGTAGCGTCGCTACTTTCTAAATCAAATAGCTTTTCAGTAGTGAAGCTATTTTATTAGTCAAGTAGCGCAGTAACGTCCACACAAACTACATTTACAGATCGCGGATCAATAAGTTACGGCACCGACATTGTGAGCTGTGAGGCCAAGTGTGCCGCAAGCCTGCGTTTGAGTGAAGGTCTCGGCCGTTAGATCGCCCCCTGGGGGCTGGCTGCAGTACAAGTCATAAAGCCCGCCTTCTCCGTGTTAATGAAGGAGACTTGAGCCCAAATAAAAAAAATTATTACACTTGCAATAAAATGTCCCGAAAGATGGTTCTGGTGGATTAAGGCACTGGTTATTGTGCTGAAATAGGTGCAGATCTTCATTTTTGTAAACAGTTTGTTTTTAGCAGTAATTTAATGCTGGGCGTGTCATCGTGATTGACAGCTGTGATTGACAGTTTCTCAAAGCAGCGCGTCTGATCTTCGGCAGGAGACTGAAGTGTTATTATTCGATTTCTGTGTTATTTTACCATGACAAAATGAGTTCAGCAGTAAACTACAGTTTCTGACATACATGATCCTGGTGGAACACTGTTTATTCGCTAAGGTCAGGGCTTTTTTCGGGCTTTATTAGTTTGCTGATACACGCCTAACCACCCAGATAGCAAAACACAGTTCCGGCTAGATTCTCGCCTGCCGGAGACTTATCTCTTAGAGCTCAGACTGACTACCTCTGCTGGACCTACTCCGGATGCCTGGACTCACTACCCGATTCCAGCCCGAGTCAATCGAGCCAGATGCGGCGGCCGAGCGAGCCGGCGCTGCCGCATGCGAGCCGGAATCAGCCCGCGACGCCGCGAGTAGGTTATTCGCTGCGGTCCAGAGCTGGCGCGATTGAATATATAAAACCCTCATATTTGTTAACGTTATTACATCCATTTGTGTTGATATGACAGCAAACGCATGCTGAGAAGTTCGGGGGGCGTGGTTGATTTTACATAAAGCGTTCGGTTGGAAGCTCGACTCCGCTCATTTTCGCGGCTCCTCCTCTGGCTCCATCAGACAGTCCTTCTGCACATGTCAAGGCTCCAATTTCAGCAGTCTTTTGCGACAGTTTGTGCCCGTCAAGCAGGCGTTTTGCCCTCAAGGCGTTCAATGGGAAAAAGGGCTGTCGCGTCGTCCATATTTTTTTACAGTCATTGTGTGAGGCCGGTGTGTAGGCGGTGATAGTAAATCCATATGATGGCTAGAATGAGGAATTCTTCTTCTTCCTGTTTTACGGTGTTCGACCACATACTTTTTGGTGCGTTACTGCCACGCCTGGTTGGCGATGTCACAAACCGAAACTTGCTTGATGGAAAGATGACTGAAGGAGAGGAGTTATTTCTGAAGCAGGATTCCTCAAAATTGTCAGATAGAACCTTATAATTCTAAGGTGGCGATGTGGGTAATTTTAGAATCGTGCATTCGCTTTGCATTTTAAAAACTTTATACGATTTTTTTTTAAAACAAAGATGTATGTGTTTAAGGACATTTGAATATTGATACTGAGGTATCTGGCCTGAGATTAGCACCTTGAGCTAAAACACAATAGTGGAAAATGTCAACTCCGTTGTTTTCAACTGTTTATGCCTGAAAAACGCTTAAGTAATTTTAAAACCGTATGGGTTTTCTCCTTCATCATCAGCTTTCGCTGGTTGGGATTCAATGCATTCTTGGATACATGCGCTTCGCAAGTACACATCCAGGAATTTTATCTGTACTTGGCAAGATGGGAACTTTGACTTGGAAACGTGCTTCGGCAACGATTGATGACGCAAGGACACAAGAACGCAAGTACAGACAAGAACGCATATTGAGAAACAGGCACTCTCAACTCTGTTACTGTTAAGTCTGTTCTGATTTCTGAAAATTGAACAATACGCTACACTAATTACTAAATTAAATTACATTTAAATTAAATTACTAATTAAATTAGTAACAAAATCAAATGATTCCTGTTACATTTAGGCTACTGTTTTACACTAATACAATTGAGTTTATATATTGTTCCACTTTAATAAACAATTAATAGAAAATACTTGAAATGTAGACGCAATTTTGTAACGAGTGAAGCATAAATAACACAAATTTTCCATCAGATTTCACTCTTCTCACAATTGAAACATCACTTGACTCCGCCGAATAAACCTGTACATCCCGAACGGCCCGGAGAGTGAAAATATTCAGATGACGGGCTGATTATGAAGCCGTGGAGGCGGCGGTGGCAATAAGACGGCGTGTTTTGGGAGTACATGCTCTCCTCTGTCCAAAATAATGAGGCGAGAGGGAGCGTTTGACACCGCCGTAACGATCTGTCACACTCGCTGCTGTTATAATGACATAATCACTGTCATGTTGAGGCTCCTGCAGTATTACTAGCTCTCGCTCGCCGACGGAGTGACACCCAAATAAGTGCAGTGTCTGTTTGCATCATGCGCTCCAGACGTTAATTGATGTTACTGCACTTGAATACTCGTCTGAATGCCAGTGCTGGCTAATATCCGCACCGTTTATTCAGCGCAAGCTAATATCCGCGCAGTTTATTTAGCGGATGCTAAATTCATTAGTTTTCAAGGCAGAAAGAAGCATAGAGGTTTAGATGTGGGCTGTTTTTTTACTGCTGTAATGGTCTTTTGGATGTCTTCCTTCTCTTTTTTTTTCTTCCTCTGAGCCTGTTTTCTTTATGTCTTCAGAGGAGCCTGTACATGGTGTAGCATGAATAATTTAGCGTAGCAGAAAGGTGGACACGCTCGCTAGTTAATCTCGTCGGGGCCGGAAGGATTTCCTCTTGCTCTTTTATGCCATTTTTTGTGGATGATAAACGGCTCACTGACACTCACAGCCCGTTTCGAAAACTTAATAATTGATTATTGTTCGGATATGGAATGTGTGTTATTAAACGATCTTCGTTGGCCATTATGGCGACTCCAGAAATAAATAAAATGCAAATTAAAAAACACACACGCACATAAATAAAGCCTTGGTATATAAACTAATAAATTGTTCTCATATAGAGTGTGTATCATTGTATTCATTGGCCATAAATAACACACACAGTGGGGGAAGTAAGTAAATTTTTCTCAGAAAACATATTTCTAAAGGTGCTATTGACTCGAAACTTTGACTACTTACTTACTTACTTATGCCCTCCACCCCTTCCGGGGCATGGGCCGCCAAAGGTAGATCTCCAGAGGTTCCTGTCCTGGGCCATTCTTTCTACTTGTCCCCAGGTGTAACCCATCCTTGTGATGTCTGCGTCGCCAGGTGTTTCTTGGACGGCCTCTCTCCTGTTTCCTTTGGGGGTTCCATCTGAGAGCCTGTCTGGTCATGCTAGTTGGTGGTTTGCTAAGGGTGTGCCCTATCCAACCCCATCTATGCTTCCAGATTTCTGTTTCTACGGGAGGTTGACAGGTCCTTCTCCATAGGTCGGTGTTACTGATCGTGTCAGGCCAGCGAATGTGCAGAATCTTTCTGAGACAGGTGATGATGAATTGAATAGTTGGATTCATCAACACAAACTTTGACTAGATGTTGATAACAACCAAAGAAATGCATATATGAAAATAATCTTATACAAACAAATAACAAATCTAATTAGTTTACAGATTAAGTTACGTTTTGAACACATGAAGAAAGAGAGGAGTAGAAAGGCAGTGAAAGCCCAGACAGCAGCTGAAATCTCTTAGTAGTTCTACCCTTACTCAGTGTAAATGAATGTCAGCTGCTTCAGTCCAGCATCTACTGTACATTCGCAGGATGATGAAGATCAGAGCGGACATTTCAGCAAGACAATAATCCAAAACACAGCCAAAGAGACTCTCAAATGCTTTTAGAGAAAGAAAATCAAGCAGTAGAATGGCCCAGCCAATCACCTGAGCTGGATCCAATAGAAAAAAATAAATGAATAAATAAAGGTCAGATTTGATAAACGAGACCCACAGAACCATCAAGATTTTGACACTCTGATGAAGTCTGTGAGAAACTCATGAGCAATGCATGAGACTTAATTCGCCACATTAGAGTTGTCTTCAAGTTGCCATGTATACATATACACATGCATTAAGCCTTGGTTTATAAACACACACATTTTATAATTTACATATTTCAATCATTTCAATGGTAGTAACATTTTTATATTCTTTGTTTATTTTCTTTTAAGAAGATTTTTTGTTTATCACGTCTTGCTGGCAAAAGGCAAAACAAGCAAAACCTCTAAAAGAAAGAAGGGTTCAAAAGCTCTTTATTGCTTTAAAACAAAATTGTGTATATAGCACAATTTAATATCTTCAAACCATACAGACAAATTGACAAAGCAATGGTTGGGCAAGTGGATGAAAGAATTGGCAAAGAGAAGGATGATGAAGGGAAAAATGCAAGAATGAATGAATAAAATAAAATGAAAAGTGACAAGTAAAGGGCAGATGGATTTGATGAATGAAGGAACAAATTAATAAATGATTGAAGAAATAGGCAGCTCAAAGAAAACATCAAATTATTGAGAGCTGTATCAATTGCAAGTGTATATTTTATGCATGTTTATATACTTTATTAAACCCAGTTATTCAGTTTTAATTAGATAAATAATATATATATATATATATATATATATATATATATATATATATATATATATATATATATATATA